TTGCAATGACAGGAAGTGCAATGACAGGCCTCGAGAGAGCAGGCATCCAGAGATATTGCCATCTCTATAAAAACGACCAAGTAGTCACATACGACCAGCTCAGGGAAAAATCCCCCCTTACAACCAAGGACTTCTTCCGCTACCTCCAATTACGAGACTTTGCTAGCTCAAAAGAAGTCAAGGAGACGGCCACTCACCTGGTTCGAGAATATATGCTACCAGGAAAAACACCCCAGTGGACTCATATCGTTACTATACTCTCACCTCAGCGGGGAGGCCAAAGAATGGGGGGAGCTACGATACACAGACCAGTGGGAGACAGACCTGGGAGAGACATTAGAGGGCTCCGACTGGCAGGACATTTGGGAGACCACAGCCCGATCATCAATATGTGTCACCCTCCAGGAACAATAATTTAAAACACTTTTCAGGTGGTACACCACACCATTAAAACAATTCCGCATGCGGATCTTTGCTGGCACGGCTGCGGGGAACAAGGCACCTATGTGCACATGTGGTGGAAGTGCCCCTTGGTACAGACCTATTGGGTTCAAATTATCAATCTAAGCACTAACATATTGCAGAGACCACTAAAACTAGACCCCTGGGCCTGCCTCCTCTCAAGGCCAACAGATGGCCTTCCACACCCAGAGCAACAACTGTTAAATATGATATACTTAGCAGCCCGTAGAGCACTAGCACAGAAATGGCTATGTCCGGAAATGCCCCCGGTAGCACTGGTCGTAGCGAAGATAAAAGATAACTACCTTATGGACAGATTAACTTCCCTGGTCAGGCACACCACCCAAAAATTTAGCAAAATATGGGATCTGTGGGAACAATATCAGGAGACCACGGAGGGCGGACAGGGGAACCGAACACACACGTAGGGCTAACAATCGAGGTACACACGACACCCCTCGTCCGAGCCGTGGAAACAGAAGCACCAATTCACCGTATCACTAAATACAATATTTCTGGTTAATACTGGATTTTAGAATAACTGTTATGATATGTTATGATATGTTTAGTTAACAACCGTACAAAACCATGCTAATTGAAGTGACATATGTATTCAAGGCAAGACCTCACTGACAAACCAAGTAGAGTTGTCTCAGCACACCACGAGATGACAAATTAACCGCCGACGAGACTAGCGGCGACAGTAAGCATATCTCTTGCCTTGAGATAATCACCTTCACCAATGTGTAATTGAACCATCTGAAAACGCACTGCGGCTTCTACGTAAGCCTATGCACTGTCATAAGTATGAACTTCTTTCGCGGCTTCTGCGCAAGCCTATGCATTGTCACACATGTATGCACTTCGCTCGCGGCTTCTGCGTAAGCCTACACATTGTCATTCATATATGCACTTCTCTCGCGTAAGCCTAGTCATTGCAGAGAATTTAAAAAAAAAAAACATTATTTTCTTACCTTGTTTCTATCTCCAAGGCTGTCTTGGTGCTGCTCCCCTCTTTTCCAGGAGAACCAATCCCAAAGTGCTTTCATATCTCAGAATTTTAATGTAAGTGGATATCTTCTAGTCCTTTCTCTTTTTTTTGGCTACAGGAAGTGGGCAAGTGATGGAGACCATCCTCTCTGTACCATGATGGATTGAATGGTTCCTGCAGAGGATTTATATTTGAAAATATATCTAAAGGTCGATATAAGGAATTGTGTTATTCTGCAGGTTTACTTTCTCAGTCTTTGCTATTCCTGGGCAAGCCACAGATTCATTTCTTTCCCTTGTTTGCATAAGCAGTTTACCCACCAGGCAAAGGCTTTTCTGACTCCTAGATCCCACACTTTTGTTATCCATCCATTTTGTTATCAGAGTTATCTATCATGTGAAAGTGAACAGACCCTTGCAATTTAGGAATTCTCTATTGACAATACATAAAAGGCATATTCTGGGGGGCGGGGCCTGGCAGCAAAGATGGCAGGACGTGTTGCAGCTCAGCTCCTGTAAAACAGGGCTGAAAATTAGCTAATCTGACCTTCTAACGCACAGAAAATGACCTGGCAAGGGCAAGACTCTGCCACCAAGCAGCACGGGACTGTAAGCACTCATGCAGCCAGTTGCCCCAACACAGTATCCAGCCGTCCAGCCGCGAGGCCTAACACTGATGGCGACCTGCGGGCCGGGGGAGGCGGCCGATCCCCTGACCCGAGATGCTCGGCAACACCTGGAGACTCCGGAGCCCCGTCACCCCCCCCCTGGACCGGAGGGGGTTATCCCGGTCCCCACTGGGGAAAGTCACCCCCCGGCAAACAAGTGATCTCCTGTACCCAAGGACCGCATGGCGAGCACAAGATGGCCGCTGAAACGCAGCCTCGACATACCACAGAGAGAGCGGACATTCAGTCCTGGCGGGAAGACTTTGAAGCCCGGTTTGAACGCATATGCCGAGCATTCTGGCACCGCATCGAAAGCCGACACTCACACGGGCAGCTGACCCAGAGAAAAGATGCAGTGGACCGCGAACCTGCAACCGGCACTGGGCATGGAGCTCGTAGGGTGGCACAGCCAACAAGCCGTCCAAGCACTCGGGGGAATCCCCCGACGCGTCAAGCGTCCGCAAACCCGTGATCCAGCCAAACCAAAATGGAAAGCTACCAGCCAAGCGACCAGGAACCCACGGGAGGCCTGGGCCTGGGAGAACGGGAACCCCCGGCGCAGCTCACCCACTACAAGCCACATGCAAGGCGCCTGGTTCAACACACAGCCCTTCCTGGGGGCGAATAGCACTACCTCACCGACCATGCAGCCTACCAAGCTCCGATGGCCCATACGAGGTATCGGATAAACGGACAGCACGGAATACACACCAGCTCTCTTACAGAGACACTAAATTCACTGCTCCTTTAGAGCTGTCATGGTGCAATTAGTACCCAGTGGTCATATAGCAGACTCAACGTTAACTAAAGCCTAATACCTTTACTAACCAATGTAAGATTATTCATAGCATCATGAGCCAAGTTATTAGTTTATCTTTCCTGTTCATCCTAATGCTTATATGATGTAAACCAGCCACAGTATCGATAACACTCTTGCTTGCTAGAAAAGTTATATTTACAGGATCTAGCATGTTTATGGTCAGCAAGTAATGTCATAATCGTTGACTTTTGAAGCGTGTACCTTATCCAGACATTCAGGGACCTAACTTGAGAAATGTTATTTGAATGTTCAGTCAGACATGCTAAACCATACTACCCTTATGTTTCTCTGCCAGTATTCTTCATGTTATATAAAAAAAAATGTGCTGTCTACACTGCAAAACGGTATAAAAAGCATGCGGAAGCTGTCGTAGCTCTGCATGCCTGTTGTAAATCTGTGCACATGAAAAATAAAGAATTAAAAAAAAAAAAAAAGGCATATTCTGATAATTTGATATTATTTTAGCATGTTGAAATTCAACCCCATAATGCAGCAGGGCTTTCTATGCTGTCTTGCAAAATGCAGGCTTTAACGCCACAGGGCGGCATAGAACGCTCTATGGATCTCAGCCACCCTGGTTTACCATAATTGCCCTCCGATATTATAATATGAATGAATGAATATAATGAATATATATGAATATAATTCTCTATTTTAATATCAAAATACACACACATATGTATTAAGGCCTTTTGGCCTGTAATTGTGGGAGGGGCTTAAGTTAAATCACTCCCCTATATAAGGTACACCCCTTACCTGACTCCATACCGATTAAGGTCAGCTTCTGAATGCACTTTCGGTTCATCCAGTCGCCATTTTGGAATACTTCTTTTTTTCTCACAAGGTCTTCCACGCTGAGCTGTGTCCAGGAATGCAGCCGCAGGCTTTTCCATCCGACCAGCTTCTTGCTTCTTTCATCGCCGCAGATCACGTCCTAGTGACTCACAAACCATAAGTTGACCTACCCGTTACGCCAGGCAACAGTCCCACGGCATCATTCTTGGGTCAGGTCCTCACTTTACGGTTACATTCGGTTATTCCATACTACTCTGCATGTACAGTCTATTTTGATAGTTTTTTAGCCGTTCGTTTACACGGCCATTTCGTGCATATCTCACTCCATGTACTACCCTGTTCGGGCTGTCGTGTATGTATTACCATGTATTTCCCCGCTCGGGAACCTTACTGACATCTCATTCGTGTAGATATCTCCATTCATGCGCTTCAAACGCACGAATGGATTATATATATATATGTTCCGTTCATACAGCCGTACGTATTACCGAACGACACGTGTAATCAATCCCAGATAAATTGCCAGCAGGCCGTTTCGCATACTCCCAGTATTAGTCTTTTATTGACAGTTCTTGCCGGTTCGTGCGGTTCAACAGCACGAACAGGAAACATTAAAACTAATTTCATTCCCTGCAAACCGACCTTTGCTTACTTCTGTACGGCCACACATTGCATACATATCTCACATGTATATTTGTACAGCTTGTGTGGTTAAACACACAAACGTACAGTTCTTGGGTTGAAACTTAGTTTGCATTGGGTATTACCTACTTTAAGGGAACAGCGGGTGCATTTATTACCTACATTAACATGTACGACCGCCATCTCGTAATAAACCTAAAACTAAGGACAATACTTTATTACATACATTTTGTTACAATTTTCGACTAAAAGCACTCAGTACGGGCTAAAAAAGGGCATGGATATTCAAAAATGTTTTATTCATACAGGTTTGATTCATAAATATCACAATTCACATGACAACGGTGGCTCTACAAACACTACCACCTTCAGGTCAGCAATTACATTGCTTTTACTGAGATGTTACAAACATCATCTCCACTGACCTCTACGGGTCTACATTTAAACGACAACTTTCACAAAACAATCACTATACTACCAAACTAAGATACGTATACAGATTCTCATACAAGTAGCCAATAAAATTGCACATATATACCCAGTATGCCATACATACACAAGCACATTCCACACGATGGCTTACCTACATACATCTCCACAAATACACATATAAGGGAATAGTATATACTCCTACATACAGTTTACAGGGGTTAATCTACCTGGTACAGCTTAAAGGATCACTATAGGATCAGGAACACAAACATGTATTCCTGACCCTATAGTGTTAAAGGACCACTATAGTGCCAGGAAAACATACTCGTTTTCATGGCACCATAGGGTCTCTAGGTCCCCCCCACCCTCAGGGCCCCCCTCCCACCAGGCTCTGGGGGTGGAAGGGGTTAAATCTTACCTTTTTTCCCCCGCCGGGCTCCCTCGGCAGTGGTGACTCTCCTCATTCAGACAGTCTCATAGGAAAGCATTCTCAATGCTTTCCCATGGACGCTGGCGTCTTCTCACTGTGAAAATCACAGTGAGAAGCGCGGAAGCGCCTCTAGCGGCTGTCAATTAGACAGCCACTAGAGGCTGGATTAACCCATTTGTAAACAGCAGTTTCTCTGAAACTGCTATGTTTACAGCAGAAAGGACCTGGCACCCAGATGGACCTGGCACCCAGACCACTTCATTAAGCTGAAGTGGTCTGGGTGCCTATAGTGGTCCTTTAACACCACCATCTAGCCCCCCTGGGTCCCTCATGCCTCCATAAATATAGTAAAAATCATACTGTATTCAAGCTGTAAATCTGCATGCTGTTAGACTCAGAAAAACAAGCAGTCTGCTGACATGTGGTAGCCTGATCCGATCACAGTGCTTCCACATAGGATTGGCTTAGACTGACAAAGAGGCAGATCAGGGGCAGAGCCAGCATGATTCAAACACAGCCCTGGCCAATCAGCATCTCCTCATAGAGATGAATTGAATCAATGAATCTCTATGAGGAAAGTTCAGTGTCTGCATGCAGAGGGAGGAGATACTGAATCACAGGATGCTGTGCACAGTGCTACCCTGTGCTCTGCTGACAGCAGATCTGAGTGGATGGAGGCACATTATGCCTCCATCAACTCCGAAGTCCTTCTGGTTCACTCTGAGTGACTGCAACTGGAGGTGTTCCTAGCTTTCACTGTAAGCACTGTATTTACGTGAGAAAGGCTTCAGGGAGCTATAGTTCTCACCTGAACAACCTCATTAAGCTGAAGTTGTTCCGGTGACTATAGTGTCTCTTTAAACGCATTCCTTTCTCGGGTTGAGGAATATACCTATTACATATAGTGGATTTCCAACAACCTAACCTTTTAATGATATGAATGGGAGTGTTGGTACTAGATGCAGCTGAAGCAGCCCCGATTCTAAATGAGTAGCCAGAGTATGAGGCTGGATTAAGACCTAACCTGATGCATAAGCTCTGACATAGAACATGAATTTGGAAGTGTTAAGGGGACCACTTAGTAGTGTGAGTAGCAGTGTCTCAGATGGTTTGTCTCTGATGTTGTATAGATATGCATCCAGAACTTTAATAGGGCACCAATTATTCTCGATAAGGTAAAAGGGGATTTCTAAAGGATGGACAGTCTGATTAGATTTGGAATTTCTTAATAATAGAATAAAATGGTAATTTACTTTCTTTATGTCTTTGATAGTGAAATATAAATGGCTGTTTGAGCTACCATTGTGAACTCTCTAGGTCTTAAAAACCCATAGAAGGCAATGTAAATAGCTGTTTTTATGACAATATTTGTGCAAGGATCGAATGGTTGGGTGTCCAGAATATTTACGCATGTTAAATAAAGTTTGATAGTATTGTATGATAGTTTAAGCTGAAGGTGGCAAAATGCGTCAAAAGCTACCATGGTTTGAACCTAAAAATGGTGAGTGTTAAACTCCGCTGAGGACCGATTGAAAATGGACATGCTATAGGTTTTTTGAGTATTGGTGGATAAGACCGCTTGTGTTAATATTCTGCCATGGGTCAATCCAGGATTACATTGTAGAATTCCGGGGTGCAGGTTGGATATCTGTTGGCAGTAGAATGTAGAAGGAATGATTCCTGAAATTTACAACGAGATAATGTGTCGGCGGCTAAATTATTGCAACCTGGTATATGCTCACAGACAAGGAAAAGTAAGTAAATCGTTGTCAACCAAGTCAACCTGCAAATTAACTTCATAATGGTCAGATATGACGACTTACCCTTATTGATTATTTCGCAGGCTGCCACATTATCTCTATAACATTTGACGGCCATACCTGACCAAAGTTTCCCCTATTAAAAGGCTGCCGCCACTATAGGGTAAATTTCGAATAAAGCCAAAGTTTCCCCAAAGGAGGGCAACTCCAGTGTTTCTTTAGGCCAGTTGTCACTTAACCAATAGTTGTTATGAATTGCAGCAAACCCTGTGTTAGAAGCTTTGTCAGTCCAGAAAACCGGGGATTGGTCAGACATTTTGCCACATAGTCAGGTCTGCACTAGCAGGTGGGTCTAGACAAATAATACTGTCGTCTGGGAGGCCTGGTAGGAGGCATAGCAGTCTGGATATAAATGATCTTCCCTGTGGAATAATGTGCATCGCGAAGTTCAAGGATCCAAGTAGGGAATGGACATCCCTGCACGTACAAACTCCTAAATTCAGGAACTTGTCTAACTCTTCGCAAATGCAATGAAGTTTATCCTCGGGAAGACAAGACTGCATTAAATGTGAATCTAATTTGATCCATAAAAAAAATTGTCTAGTGGTGGGTCCTATGGTCTTATCAGGAGAAAGTGGAATGCCCAGTGTGGAAAATAGTGCTGTTGTGCTTATTAAACTCAGAGGTGTGTTACTACTATCTTCCACCAACAGAAAATCATCCAAATAATGTATCACCATGGGGCACCTTGCTATATTGAGAAGAAGCCAGCATAATGTCTCGGCGAATGTGCCAAAAATTCTCAGGCTA